TATTACTATTATTTGTTGTTTTATATATATATATATATATAATTTTTGTTTTGCTTAATTGCAAATGTGAAGTCTGATGGGTTTATAAGGCACATGTATATGCTCACTTGTTTTCCCAAAAAGCCAGCTATGTGGAAATTGTTCACTTTTTTAGATAAAATAAGCACTTTTGTTTATTTATTTATTCATTTATTTGATTAGTCAACCTAACTAATTAAAGAACTGCTGATCAAACTGAGCAAATAGGGATTACCGTTTTAATATATGATTTTTTTTCAACACCCATTCAACAACAAAACCTTTAATCCAGATTTTTTTCTGTTATATCTAGAATCTCGCTGGGTGTCCATATAAATAAACAGTGTTGGGAAAAGTTACTTCTAAAAGTAATGCATTACAATATTGCGTTACTCCCTTAAAAAGTAACTAATTTACTTTACCTAGTTACTTATGAAAAGCAATGCATTACATTACATTTGTGTTATTTCTTAAACCAGGTCTTTGTTTGCTTGTTTGTTTTTAAGAGGAAAAAGTTCTATTCTATTTTGACACCGAAAGTGAAATGAATCCGATCAGGATGAAGGCAATGTAAATTCTCATATGTACAATAGAGGGCATAGTTCAAACAAACCTTTCAGCTGTCCTGCCATTATAGATTGCATGCAGAATAGGATGCAGAAAAAGGTAATATTCTGAGTTTGCATTTCACGGTTTTTATTAATTTTGAGGAACACTGGATCTGTTTTTGTGCGAGTGAGATGAGTAAATGCATGCACTTACTCCCGATTTCTCTGGGAATGGGAGAGCTGTCAGTCAATAAAAGGGAAAATAAAGTAACTGGTGTTACTTATTTGAAAAAGTAACTAATATTTTCTTGTAAATTAAAAAGCAATTCCATTCCTTGACAGTTGAGCTAAAACTTACTTCTAAAAGTAATGCATTACAATATTGCGTTACTCCCTTAAAAAGTAACTAATTTACTTTACCTAGTTACTTATGAAAAGCAATGCATTACATTACATTTGTGTTATTTCTTAAACCAGGTCTTTGTTTGCTTGTTTGTTTTTAAGAGGAAAAAGTTCTATTCTATTTTGACACCAAAAGTGAAATGAATCCGATCAGGATGAAGGAAATGTAAATTCTCATATGTACAATAGAGGGCATAGTTAAAACAAACCTTTCAGCTGTCCTGCCATTATAGATTGCATGCAGAATAGGATGCAGAAAAAGGTGATATTCTGAGTTTGCATTTCACGGTTTTTATTAATTTTGAGGAACACTGGATCTGTTTTTGTGCGAGTGAGATGAGTAAATGCATGCACTTACTCCCGATTTCTCTGGGAATGGGAGAGCTGTCAGTCAATAAAAGGGAAAATAAAGTAACTGGTGTTACTTATTTGAAAAAGTAACTAATATTTTCTTGTAAATTAAAAAGCAATTCCATTCCTTGACAGTTGAGCTAAAACATAAAGATGGCATCTGAAAGTTGCGTTTGGTGGTCAGTTTGTGTGTAAATGTATTGTTTCTGACTTTTTGAAATTTATGTTTCTGACCAACTTTTTCCACTTTTGATGTTACCTACTGAGAAATCAGTATTAAAGTAAAGTTTGATTTAGTTGTAGATCATTAAACCATTATGCTTCCTCAAAAGCCTGTCTGAAATCAGTTTCGTGATGTGCCTTCATGCAGAAACGCATGCAAAGCCATTGCCTGATTAGGCAGTGAGGCAACAAGTCAGCAGCCTAAGCTTTTGGACGCAGCCTTCCAAACCCCAGTATGTTTGCATCATCAGAATGGCACCTGATTTTTGTTTTTTAGCAACTGTTGCAAGGTAATGACTATGCAGGAAAAAAATGGATAATAGAGGAAGAAGATGGATGGATACTGCTGCTTGCTCACCTTACTTTTGTTCTTTGGATTTTGAAAACGTGGTTTTGATTCCAAAGCGCCAACACAGAATGTGTCACAAATGCAATGCAAAGGTCCAAAAGAATGAGGGAGTCCACATGAACCACCCTTTTTAAAACAGTGATTACATAATCAAAATGGACCTAATTCTGATGTCAAACCAACCTGGGTGTGCACCAGAAGTGCTAGGCTGAAAACCCCCTGAATGTCGTGTAAAGTGTTTCTGCACTGCATCTTCCAGGTTGGCACAAGCTATAGTTGACTACTCTGATTAATTTGACCATGGTGTAGGGTCAAAGAATTTGCAGTTAGCGTTAGGAATTAAGACAAGGCGGCATTGGCCAGTCATAAGTCTGCTGTTGGGTGTGCAGGGATAGCATCACTCCCTCGATCCAATCATGCATACACTGCACATGCTTCGTAATAGAGCAGTGGGGAGAAGGTTGTTGCTCTCAGGTTTCTTATGCGACATCCAGTAGTCCCCAGGACTGCTGGATGAAAGGAAGTTTGAATGGGGTGCAGCCTGTTGAAGCTTGGGGAGCCTCTCTAAAATCAAAGACCACATACAGGATTATGAGGTCCCAGTTATGCCTATCTTCAGCTACCATTTGTCGGAGCATTGGCTGCTCTGTTTTCTGTTGGAACCGGCTAAGCCCCAGCCAGTTTCCTCTAAACAGCAGCAGCACCAGCTGATCTTTCATGCAGCAGATCCTTACCTCCACTACCCAGGTATCTGGTGAAGCAGATATGGAAACCAAATGGCACATACTGCACCTCTGAGGGTTGGGTCTGTGGGCATAGGGTTGTTGTCAAATGGCTCTGAGTGTGAAGGCATATTAGCTGGCTTATGAGGGCCATCCATCTCTTCTCTCTTCACTGTGTCTCTCCACTGAGTGGCTTTGGATAGCTCCATGGCCTCGATGAGGTTGGTGGAGGCCTTGGAGGATTGCCACTTTTGGTTCCCTCTGTTAGTAGCCATAGTCTCACCATGTGGGACAGCTGAGCCGACTTTATACACACTGGAGTGTGCTAGGTGGTGGATACCAAGAACAGCCCAACATGGCCAAAGATCTCTCTTTTCAGCACAGTAATCATTTGCGGTGGAGCCAGAAACAAAAAGGTCCATTCAGTGGGGCCCCAGTGTTTGCGCTCAGCCACCACAGCAAGCGTGTTCAGGATGTCCTCAACATCCTCCTTGTTATTGTATTCCAAAGTACCTTCCTCTCTGAAGAGTGTGCCTTTGCTGGGACTGCTCGTGCCTCAGCTTCCACCCTCAGGTGCACTAACGTGGTGGACTGAAATCTCGGCAAGAAATGCATGTGTGTAGACCAGCCACAGACTAGAGAGGCTGATGCCATTGAGAATAGCCAGTGGGCTGAACTGCCATTTTCTTAGATAGTGCAGAAGCTACAGTAAGAAAAAGTAGGATGGCACATCATACTGTATATGCAAGGGTCAAAAAGGCATTCATGTAGCTCAGGAGTTCTCAACTCTGGCCTTCGAGGTCCGCTTTTCTGCAGAGATTAGCTCCAGCCTTGATCAAACTTTCCTTGCAGCAGATAACATTTCTCTCCAAGAAGGAACATAGTTGTGAAGAGACCACTTTTTCTAGTATTTGTGACAGAAAATAGAGATTTGAGATATGTCAGTAGTTGAATAATTCTCTAAAAATTATTAAAATTAAAGTGGATAGTTTTTTTAATTCAAAGGTCTAATTACAGCCAGCTTGAAAGTTTTTGGGATATATCATAATAATAATAATGATGAATTAATAGCATTAAGAATAGGTTCTAAAACTTCCCAAAGCATCTCTTTCAATGGCTTGGTAGGCATAGGGTCTAACATACATGTTGTTGGTTGAGAATGATTTAACAAGTTTAAACAATTCTTCCTTTCTTTTCACTTTTAGCAAAGAATGAATGGAATTGTTCCTCAGGGGACCTGCAGTGGACTGTCTGATGCAATACTATGGCAGATGGTTGCATGGATATAATATTCTCTCTGATAATATCATAGTATCTTGCTAAAATGTCATGTTAATAAACAACCTCTGTTATGTCACGTGCTTATGAAGGTCCTTATAACATAATGTGTTTGTGTAAACATTTAAATAAATAAAATATCATGATCCATATGTGTTACCTTGTGTTGAGCCTTAGGTCGTGCAACCACCAGCAGCATCTGAGCTTCGCCTCCAGCCTCGGATAACTTTGTGGCTTCTCCCACCTTCAGCTCCGAATTATATCTCATGTTTAACTACTGTAGAGGCATCAGATCCAGCGGCAAATCCCAGAAGTTCTGGCCGAGGTAAGGCTGCTCTCGGCGGGTTCATGAGCGCTGAATGGCTGCTGACGTCCTGGAGCTCACATCTCCGAAAAAGTCGAAGCACGTTTTCAAATAGATGTTATCTTTATTAACAAAGTGCATATTTGAAGTCTAAACAACTACATTCTCGCCTAAAGCACTCTTAAAACTACATTCCGTGACACAAAAACAGTATTATCTTTTGTTTTTTTATCCGCCATCTCTATCTTTCTGTCGCTCGGCTCGGCTAATGTCCGTCCCATGCACTGAAAGCTCTCTCCTCCACATCACGAGTAGACACGCCCCTTATTGCTGATTGGCTACAAGTTTGTTTTGCGATTCGGCCCGAATCAGTTTTCTAAAGCGTTTTTGAAAAATCACTTACTCTGCCTTTAAAATGAGACCAAACTTAACTCTGTGTCCCCAAGCTTCAAATTTTATGACAGTTTTTTGACATGGACATTTTTGTCCACTATAGACCTACTTTTTTTAATTGACGCACAAGGGTTAATATCTTATTTGTTTCATTGTGTATATTGATCATTTACATGCTCTTATTTAAAGCATGGCCATGAGGTCTTGGCATCAACATGACAACAACCTGATCAAATGATTGGCAGACAGAGAACGTATGATTAGCTAGTTTTTCAATAATATTCTCACACCTGTTTCATTGATCTCTGTCAGGTAATAGGTACATTTTGTGTGTAGAAAAATAGCTGTCAATGGCACAACGTTTCTATATGCCTATATTTATTTTCTCATGGCGTTACTCCAGTCCTCCAGGAGGCGCTGCGGCGGGGAGTCGCGGTTAATGATCGCGTTTGCGTTCGAGGGAGAGACGTCGGGAAGAAACAACAGATGAAGAAACGCAGCAGCGAGAACGGTATTGAGAGCCTAAAGAGTGTCAAAACATGTCAATATTCACACCTACTAACCAGATCAGGCTAACAAATGTCGCCGTCGTGAGGATGAAGAAAGCAGGGAAGAGGTTTGAAATAGCCTGCTACAAGAACAAAGTGATGAGCTGGAGATCTGGAGCGTGAGTGTTGTTATGACAGGCTCGTTGTGTTTATTCTGTTATTATAGCTATTATAACAACAGTTAAATTAGAGTTGCAACACTTTTTGAGGGATTTGTATTGTGTGTCTTTGCTTGTTTATGTTAATACTAGTGTTACAGTGTCAAATGTGTGATATGTAAATTTTTTTTGAGGGCAATCACATACAAGAGTCAACGAAGACCTCTTTCAGTGATCAAATTAAGAGTTTATTTGACTTTATTGATTGATTTTACTGTGATTTATTATGATAGAATTAGTAGATTTATAGTTAGCCATTTTCAACTCACAAAGCCTCGTTTGAAAAACTCTGTCTTAAAGGAGTAGTTCCCCCTAAAAATGAAAATTAGCTGAAAATGTGCTCATCCTCAGGCCATCCGAGATGTAGATGAGTTTGTTTCTTCATCAGGTTTGTAGAAATGTAGCATTGCATCAGTGTCTCAGCAATGGATGCTCTGCAGCGAATGGGTGCCGTCAGAATGAGAGTCTGATAAAAACATCACAATAATCCACAGCACTCCAGTCCATCAGTTAACATCTGGAGAAGACAAAAGCTGAAACAAATCCAGCATTAAGATGTTGCTTCTGGTCATTTAAAGTCCATAATCCATAATAACGCTTCCTCCAGTGAAAAACATTAATTGAAGAGTGGATAACTTGTGGATTATTGTTTTTCAAATAGATGTTATCTTTATTAACAAAGTGCATATTTGAAGTCTAAACAACTACATTCTCGCCTAAAGCACTCTTAAAACTACATTCCGTGACACAAAAACAGTATTATTTATAAAATGATAGTGGATTTAGGCATCTGCCAAGACACTCACTGTGAGAAACACTGCAAGCGGAGTGATACAGATGCTGAAGTGCTTGGAGTTCTCAGCCAATCAGAATCGAGGATCAGAAAGCACTTGTATATCAATATATCAGTTACATGTTTCTATTAACGAAGTAGTTGCTTCATAAATGTAACAGGTATTGAAAATGTTTCAAAACAATATGTGGAGAAAAGGAACACATGATAATGAATAATATGGAAACATCACAGAGGCGTATTATTCATCATATGTATCATTTACAAGAATGTGTCATCAGCATTCATTAAAAGTGAATGGACATTTGTATTGTCTATTCAGTTACACATCTTGATGTTTATTACTAACGACATTATTTATTTGGTTTGTAGTAATTAACATTGCAATGTGTAATTGATTAAAAAAGACATTATATTAAAGTACATTATATTAGACTAGCACAATAGTTTATTCACTCACATTACCTCAGTCAGGCCTCTAAACAGCTCAGACAATTTATCTTATTACATAAACTGTAATTTATTTTGAAAAGGTTGGGCTGGACATACAGAAATATTTTTGAACATTTTCAAAACAATATGCGATTTGTGAATTTTCATACATGCGCCACCTAGTGGAACCAAATACCTCAGGAGCCCAATATATTGTAACACCAGCGGGCAACGGATTCTGCTTGGTCTTAAAGCATTATGTTAAATCTCACTGTTTCCAATGTCGTTTGATATAGGTATGATCTCTGATGTGTATCGGTGGATCTATGAAAAGTCCCCAGGGCCTCTGTTGGATTATACAGCGTCACTGTATCTGTTTGTTTTCATGCAATCAAAAGGGATTTTGACAGGAGTTGTACTCTGGTACTGATGACTACAAACTCCTCTGCATTCAGCGGAAATATATTGCATTACATTCCCCGTTTTAATATCTTATTTTTAATCGCAGTGCCATGGCCATGAGGTCTTGGCATCAACATGACAACAACCTGATCAAATGATTGGCAGACAGAGAACGTATGATTAGCTAGTTTTTCAATAATATTCTCACACCTGTTTCATTGATCTCTGTCAGGTAATAGGTACATTTTGTGTGTAGAAAAATAGCTGTCAATGGCACAACGTTTCTATATGCCTATATTTATTTTCTCATGGCGTTACTCCAGTCCTCCAGGAGGCGCTGCGGCGGGGAGTCGCGGTTAATGATCGCGTTTGCGTTCGAGGGAGAGACGTCGGGAAGAAACAACAGATGAAGAAACGCAGCAGCGAGAACGGTATTGAGAGCCTAAAGAGTGTCAAAACATGTCAATATTCACACCTACTAACCAGATCAGGCTAACAAATGTCGCCGTCGTGAGGATGAAGAAAGCAGGGAAGAGGTTTGAAATAGCCTGCTACAAGAACAAAGTGATGAGCTGGAGATCTGGAGCGTGAGTGTTGTTATGACAGGCTCGTTGTGTTTATTCTGTTATTATAGCTATTATAACAACAGTTAAATTAGAGTTGCAACACTTTTTGAGGGATTTGTATTGTGTGTCTTTGCTTGTTTATGTTAATACTAGTGTTACAGTGTCAAATGTGTGATATGTAAATTTTTTTTGAGGGCAATCACATACAAGAGTCAACGAAGACCTCTTTCAGTGATCAAATTAAGAGTTTATTTGACTTTATTGATTGATTTTACTGTGATTTATTATGATAGAATTAGTAGATTTATAGTTAGCCATTTTCAACTCACAAAGCCTCGTTTGAAAAACTCTGTCTTAAAGGAGTAGTTCCCCCTAAAAATGAAAATTAGCTGAAAATGTGCTCATCCTCAGGCCATCCGAGATGTAGATGAGTTTGTTTCTTCATCAGGTTTGTAGAAATGTAGCATTGCATCAGTGTCTCAGCAATGGATGCTCTGCAGCGAATGGGTGCCGTCAGAATGAGAGTCTGATAAAAACATCACAATAATCCACAGCACTCCAGTCCATCAGTTAACATCTGGAGAAGACAAAAGCTGCGTGTTTGTAAGAAATATTCTGACGGCACCCATTCACTGCAGAGCATCCATTGCTGAGACACTGATGCAATGCCACATTTCTCCAAACCTGATGTCATAGAAATGGCAATTTCATGATCACTTTGCCATTTTCTTAATTGGAATTAATGTAATGTTCACAAATCAACGTTGCTTAGTTTTGTTGTTGTTGTTTTAGGGAGAAGGATCTTGATGAAGTCCTGCAAACAAACACCGTGTTTGTCAATGTGTCTAAGGGTCAAGTGGCGAAAAAAGACGACCTGTCAAGCGCTTTCGGCACAGACGACCTGACAGAAATATGCAAACAGGTGAATGTGCTGTTGTGTACAGCTGCTTTATGATCTGGTCAGTCCTGACTGTGTGTTGACCTCATAAGAAGACGGTTTTTATTAACATAACAATGTACACTTTGGATTATCGTGCTTCACCTGATATTAATGTGCTATTGTTTTGATATCTATTTGTGTGTATTGTATGTGGGTCAAAGACGTTAAGATGTCCGCATCAAAATAAATTTACAAAAGTGATTTTATGTCAATAGAAAGCACATTAAATGTAAGTAAAATGTCTACTTTTAAGGTTTCAAATAAGTTTTTGGAGAATAAAATGTTACAATTTGGTTGAAATAATGTTACATTGTCATTCAGTGTAACAATATTTACGTAAAAATTCAAACAACATGCTTATTCTGACGTGTACGTATTAAAATATATAAAAGAATAAGGGAGCATATTAAATTTGATTGTGTTTTAAATGAGTAAAAAAAATCTTACTGACAAATGGGCAAAATATAGGATAGTGGCACATTTAAAAAATTTAAAATTATAACTAATTAGTATTTGAGGTGAAAGTAATTAGTCTTTTAATACGTCATAAATAGATTTTTGTTGTAAATATGCCTGACAAGATTGTTACACTGAATGATATTTTAGTGGGTGTCTTCTGTAAATCAGGGGAAAATGTATGATATTTATTTTTTGCTCGGAAAAACAAAAACAAAATTGCAATTAAATTAAACAGAAAACTTTTTAAAATTTTTTGAGGAAAAACAACAACAATTTAAAGCAGTATTACATTTATTGTTTTTGTTTACATCTTTGACCCATGTATATATACATGTATTTATATATATATATATATGTAATATTTAAATTGTTTTCATTTTTCTTATTTCATGTTAAAGTTTCTAAAATCAATAAAGACAGTGTTGAAAAAAAATATAACAATTTTATACCAACTGTTTCTACATAAAAGGTTCGTTTTCATTCATGTGCAGATTTTAGCTAAAGGAGAGCTACAGGTGTCAGACAAGGAGCGACAGAGTCAGCTGGAGCAGATGTTTCGAGACATCGCAACTATTGTGGCAGAAAAATGTGTGAATCCCGAGACCAAGCGGCCCTATACAGTGAGCCTGATCGAGAGAGCCATGAAGGACATTCACTTCTCTGTGAAGGCCAACAAAAGCACTAAACAGCAGGTGAGCGGAGCCGGATCGTGTGAGGTGACGAGGTCTCTGTGGTTAATGCTAGCGTCTGTCCGTCTCTGCAGGCTCTCGAGGTCATCAAGCAGCTGAAGCAATCCATTCAGATTCAGAGAGCTCACATGCGGCTGCGCTTCGTGCTGCCGGCCAGAGACGGGAAGAGACTGAAGGAGAAGCTCAGGCCATTAATAAACACAGTAGAGAACGAGGAGTTCGATGATCAGCTGGAGATGGTGAGATTAATCCGTTCATTCATTCAGTTTTTTGATATTTTGTATTTAATGCAATGCTCATGCTATGTGAAATGCATAATTGAAGTTGTTGATATGAAGTTGTTTATATGTTTCAAATAAGACACACACACATAAATATGTATGAATAGAAAGCTCAAAAGAACAGCATTTATTTGAAATAGTTTTTTGAAACATTATAAATGTCTTTACTGTTACACACATCAGACACTCACACACACCACACACACATATCAGAAACACTCACACATCAGACACTCACACACACACACACAGACAGACATATCAGATAAACACAAACACATATCAGATACACGCACACACATCAGACACTCACACACATCACACACACACACACACATATATCAGATACACACACACACACACTCTCAGATACACGCACACACACACACACACACGCTCTCACACACATATCAGATACACGCGCACACACACACACATCAGATACACGCACGCACACACACACATCAGATACACACACACACACAGATTCTCAGCGTAAGGGTGTAATCTTTAAGACACACACACATAAATATGTATGAATAGAAAGCTCAAAAGAACAGCATTTATTTGAAATAGTTTTTTGAAACATTATAAATGTCTTTACTGTTACTTTTGATCAATTAAATGCATCCTTGCTGAATAAAAGTATTAATTTCTTTGATTTCTTTCCAAAAATAAAAAATAAAAATCTTACTGTCCCCAAATTTTGAATTATAGTGTGTAATGTTTTCAAAAGATATATTAGCTAAATGCTGTTCTTTTGAATTTTAAATTAATCAACGAGTCCTGGAAAAAAAAACTGTACACAAATGTTTTCAGCATTGATAATAATCAGAAATGTTTCTTGAGCAGCAAATCAGCATATTATACTGATTTCTGAAGATCATGTGACACTGAAGACTGGAGTAATGATGCTGAAAATTCAGCTGCGCATCACAGAAATAAATTACATTTTAACAGATATTCACATAGAAGATAGTTATTTTAAATTGTAATAATATTTTACAATATTAGTGCTTTGTTTTTAGACTTCTTTAAAAACATAAAACTAAAACTTTTGACACACACACATTTGTTTTTGTGAATTGTGGCGATGTTCCATAGGCGTTAATGATGCTGAAAATACAGCTGCGCATCACAGAAATAAATTACATTTTAACAGATATTCACATAGAAGATAGTTATTTTAAATTGTAATAATATTTTACAATATTAGTGCTTTGTTTTTAGACTTCTTTAAAAACATAAAACTAAAACTTTTGACACACACACATTTGTTTTTGTGAATTGTGGCGATGTTCCATAGGCGTAATGGTTTTTCTACTGTACAGACCGTATATTCTATTGCCCTTCACCAAC